TCCTCTGCCTCCGGCGGCTCCAAAGCCCCGAACACGTCCTTGTTCGTGCCCCTGCCTGTGAAGCCGCAGGGCCCCAGCGCCGATGGCGACGTCGGGGCCGAGCTGACCCGACCCCTGGACAAGAGTGAGTGCAGGAGCGGGCGAGGGCGGCGGGGCTGCGGGCTGGCCGGCCAGGCGGGCGAGGGGAAACTGCGCTCCTTTCCTCGGCTTGCCGCGGCATCCCCTCCGGCGCTGACCCCGTGCCTGTCCCTGTGCCCTCTTCGCTGTTTTTGAGCCCCTCGGCGCTGTGTCTCATTCTTTCGGAGTGGCCTGCCCCAGAAGTGGCCTCCCTTTCTCTGCCCTTCTCTGAATGGTTTACTCCCTCCCTTGCAGGGACGATTCCACCCTTTTGAGTTAAGTGGAGGATCCCTTCCTCTAGCGTCCTTCTTTGTTCCTCTCCACTCTGAAACTATTGCTTCCGAGAAGGGGCACAGGGTGAGGCCCGAAGAGCCAGCGGAGAACTTTCGGGTCCCTGTCATTGGGCGCTGACCCGAAGCTAGACGGGCTGACTGGTGGTCGCCAGGGGGAACCAGACTCAGCTCCAAACCTCCCGCCTCTCCAGAAGTATGCGTGCAAGGGGTGGAAGGACATACTGATAAATCCGTCCTACCAGGTAGAACTCGTTAAGGGGTCTTCACCGAAGGTGATAGGTAGATGCCGGGTCATCCTGGCTCCAGAGAGTGGAAAAGGTCAGCGCCAGCGAGTGGCAGAGGGTTTGTCCCCCGAATTAACTTTGGGTGTATTTGATAGAGGTGTGTATAAGTGTCTTTATTGGGACTTATGAGAGATTTTTGCTATAGGGCCTGCATCTTCACTGGAAAGAGACAGAGGGTGAGAAATCACACCTCGGGATATGGCCACTGTAGTTCCTTCTCCCCCATTCTCCTCTCAGAATTTTGGGCACACAGGCACACGTGCCTGGTGTGAGTCTCAAGCTACTGTCTGCCATATGGGAATCCAGCTTCTTAATCACTATCCCACCTGCCTGGACCCTTAAAGGCAGTTTTGGATTATAGAGCTGTACTTTCATTTCTGAATGACTGGGAAGCTAAGAGTTTCCTGGCCAGATGAAGCTTTGAGAGGCTGAAGTGAGGCTACAGCTTTGTGGGCACTAGCTATTCAGGAGTTCACTGTAAGGAACAATAGTTATTGGGACTGGGTTTACTCAGTGGTGATGTACTGCTAAGGGAAGCAGAATCCCACTTGGCAACCAACATTAGGATCCGCAGCCTGGGGAGCCAGCAGTTAGCGTAATGGCTATGTCGCTGGATGCCCACGTAGTTTACCGCGGTTCAAGTCCCGGACCTGGTGGTTTAAAACTCACGCCGGGCACGTGTGCGTGCGTGCCCAAGATCCCAGGAGGAGAATGGAGGAGAAGGGACTGCAGTGTGACCATCTCCCCTGGGGGGTGATTTCTCGCTTTCTGTCTCTATGTCTCTCTGGCGAGCGCACGTGCCCTATAGCGAAAACCTCTCCAAAAAAAAAAAAGGATCCGCAACCTAGTCAGCCTGAAACACTGGGTTCCTGCCAGTGTCCAGGATCCTTCCAACTAGAACGCTGGAGGGAGGGTAAGGGAATCACAGTGTGACCAGACCTGGTATAGGGGGCTCAAAACATGAACTCTCTCATGCACACATGTGCACGCTCATGAATAAAGATTCAAAGACCCACAGAAGATTGATGTCTCCTGTTCTATTTTTAGACTACAACATGCTGTGGGTTAAGTCTTTTTCAGAAGTACAGTACTTTCACCAAAAATGGGTAGAACTGACAGTATGTTGTTCTTCAACTTGCTCTTCCAAGCCAGTGCTAAGTAAGGCCCTTCACTTTAATTAGAGTTAGGGACTATTTTTTAAAAATAAATAATTTAAGTAGTTATTTCATATTATTATTTTTGCTTATTTAAAAATTCTATTAAAAATACATAACATAAAATTTAACCTATTAGGCCAGCCCATAGTCTAGTGGTTAAGAGAATCGTTTCTCACATAATTGAATGCATGGTTTCAGACCCAGACGCAGCAGCTTGAAATTCAACATGCCGGACTCTTGTCTTTTTGATAATAGCCATTCTTAGAGATGTGAGTTAATATCTTGTGGTTTAAATTTGCATTTCCCTGATGATTAGTACCGAGTCTATTTTCATATGTCTGTTGGCCATGTGTACTTATTTTTTAAAAAAATACATTTATTTATTTATTTATTTATTTATTTACCTACCTGTTTATTTATTTATTGTGATTTTCAAGCAACCAGATCTGAGACTTAACTGTGGTAGGCCATTTGGGAATCCAGTGCCTTAATCATCATGCCACCTCCTGGTTCCATGTATATGTCTTTTAAAAAAAGTCTGTATATTGGGACCAGCAGTTGGTGTAATGACTATGTCGCTGGACTCCCATGTAGTTGACCATGGTGTGAGTCCTGGACCTGGCGGCTTAAAATTACACTGGTTGTGCCAGGTGTGTGTGCGTGCGTGCCCAGGATCCCAAGAGGAGACTGGAGGAGAAGGGATTGTGGCGTGGCCATCCCTCCTGAGGGGTGATTTCTTACTTTCTGTCTCTCTGTCTGTCTCTTTCTGGCGAGCGCACACACCCTATAGCAAAAACCTCTCCAAAAAAAAAGTCTGTATAGTTCTTTATCTTTTTTTTTTTCTATTATTAAAATTAAAAAAAAAAATTGCTATGGGCACATGAGCTTGCCAGATAAAAGAAAGAAAGAGAAAGAGAGAGAAAGAAAATGAGAAATCATCCCCCAGGAAGGATAGCCAAGCTGCAGTCCCTTTCTCATTTTCTCAATATTTGGGGTCATGCATTCACACACATCTGATGTGTTTCTCAAGTTGTTGGGTCTGGGACTTGAACTTCACCGTTAGCCATGTGGGATCCAGCCACCTTAACTATCACATGCACCAGCTGGTTCTTTTGCCCTGGTTTTGATTGAGTTGATTATATATTGGATTATATATATTGGCTCTTTATCAAGTGTATATTTTAGAGATATTTTCTCCCAATCAGTGGACTGTGTTTTCATTTTCATTTTTAATCTAGGTGACTTAAAAATTTTTTTTTCCTATTCATGATAGAGTATGTGTGTGCACATGACAGAGAGAAAGAAAGAGGAGGAGAAGTAGCCTTCACAGGGCTTGGTCATGCTGTGATCACCTTCCTCCAGTCTTCCCACCTCAAGGATCTTGGACATTTGCACACACACCCGGCGTGTTTCAGGCTGACAGGGCTGGGGACTCACTGCAATAGGTATGTGGCTTCTTGCTCTAGAGCAAAATTGACTGCACCTAGAAGCTGGTCCTAGGTGACTCCTCTTGATTGTTTAAAGTAACATAAATGCCACTTTCTGACCAGTGACGTAGGTTAAGCTGTCTGATCCCACAGCACTTTGCTCATTCCTCTGCAGCATAGTAGAGGTGTTATATTATTTGACTTTATCGTTTTGCTAGACACTCCATTGTACACTAATCTGTAAAGAAGGATTCATGAAAATCTTCAAGTTCTTGTAACTTTCATTAGACTGCTGCCTTTAGTGTTAGGACTTCAATTTTCTTTCGCTTTTGGGGCATTTCTTTATAAGGTAGGAAATACATTAAAGTTTGATATGTTTCTTCTAGATGAAGTTAAGAAGATCTTAGACAAGTTTTACAAGAGGAAAGAAGTTCAGAAACTGGGTGCTGATTATGGACTTGACGGTAAGGGTAATAACTTTTTTTTACAGATACTGTATTACTTCTTAGAGTATAGTTTTTGTCAGTATAGTTTTTGTCATGTGTTCTGGAAATAAATACATAGTTATAATCTGGAGACATGTCTCTGACTTTTACTTCTGCTTGGGCAGGAGACCCATAAACCTCACCTGGTGAGCCAGATAGCATGGCAGAAGAACTTCGTGTTCATCATGCCTTTGTATTGTGCAAGGATTTCAGTTTTAGCCCAAATCATCATAACTAGCTGTACTTAAAGATAAAAAAAAGGCACTTTTTTGAGTTTGGTGTTGTGCATCTATGTACTTTTTAAAATAATAATTATTTATTATTTAATTTTTACTTGTTACTTAATTCACTATTAGGAATGTGAACTTACAAGAGAGAGAGAGAGAGGAGAGCAAGCTACTAGATCTAGGACTTGAACTGTGGTTTGCCATGTGGGGAATCCAGCACCTTAACCACTATGCCACCTGCTGGCTCCCATGTGTATTTTTTTGTTTTGTTTTTAAGAGAGATTTTTGCTGCAGGGTGTATGCGCTTGTTGGCGAGACAGAGAGAGACAGAAAGTGAGAAATCACCACCTGGGGGGATAGCCATGCTGAAATCCCTTGTCCATTCTCTTGGGACTTTGGGCACATATATGCACATGTGCCTGGCATGAGGTTTAAGCCTCCAGGTTCAGGACTCGAACTGTGGTCAACTATGTGGGAGTCCAGTGACGTAACCATTATGCCATCTGCTGGTAGCCCCATATGTGTACTTTAAAAAAAAAATTATTTAATTTTATTTATTCATTCATTTTTTTAAAATTTATTTATTTTAGAAATTTAATCAGAGAGAGCAAGAACACAGGAAAGTGAGAAAGCAAGCCACCAGGTCTGGGACTTGAACCTTGGTCGGCCATGTGGGAGTGTCTAGCACCTTAACCACCATGCCACCTGCTGGTCCCCATATGTGTACTTTTTAATTGAAAACTGAAATGGAAACTAACCGTGTGTATTGTGATTTTGTGTTTTTCACAGCTCGTCTCTTCCACCAAGCTTTCATAAGCTTTAGAAATTACATTATGCAATCTCATTCTCTGGACGTGGACATTCACATTGTTCTGAATGATATTTGCTTCAGTGCAGGCAAGTGTTTAGAAAAATTTAAAAATACAGTTGAACATACTTTCTGTTTCTTTCTGTACTTCATATTTATTTTGCTAGCAGGGCTTATTTGTTTTAGAGTAGGTGCTGGTTACATCCTTTGTAAATCATTCAGTGTTTCAAGAGAAGGCCTTCAAAGTTGCTTTTGTTAATTGGGTCCTTGAGCTAGTTACTAAATCACCGTATGTCTTAGACTAGAGGAAGACTGGGGCCTTGATCCATCATCATCTCTCTGCCCTATGAGAGTTCATTTCAGGCCATGGTGACATGAGCTCTCATACAAGATAGGGATAGTACGTAGCAGATTCCACCTGTTTCTGCTGCTGGCTTCTTTCTCCCTCACATCAGGATAAAGTTCTTGCTGTGAAAGAAAAAAAATAAAGGTAAGAACATCATCATTTAATTCCCAGGGAAAGTTGGCATTGGTTATGATTTTTAAATTTATTTGACTCCTGTGTTTACCCTGTGACAGGCATTGAGAGTTAACCTGGATACAAAGCTAAATAGGGCATAGCCCACCCTTTTCTCAAAGCCACTAAGATGTGGAGAATTCTTGTTTTGTCCCTCTGTGGTCCTTGTTTAAAAAACACTCATCTCTCTTCATGTAACCCACAGGCCTTCTATCTAATGCGTATTTCCAGGTTCTTCTTTTTTCTTTCTTTCTTTCTTTTTTTTTTTTTTTACTATTGAGCATGTGTGCTCATGGAAGGGAAACAGAGAGGGAAAGTGAGAAATCACCTCCTTGGAAGGATGGATGGGTACATATGCACACATGTCTGATATGTTTTTCAGGCCAGTGGGTCTAAGTGACCCTCAGAGTTGGCCATGTGGGATCCAGTGCCTTAACTGCTATTTCACCTGCTGGCTCTCTAAGTTCATTAATTTTAATACAACTTTTCACCAATGCTGATAATCTTTCCCTGTTTGCACTGGAAGAGTAGAATGTGTAGTTGACAACCAGTTTTCTGTTTTCTTGGCAATATAACTGAAATTAGGAGGAAGAAGTAACTCGAAGGAGGATCCCAGAAAAGGATGGGGTCCACCACTTTAGGTCTTTTCTTTTTATCCTGGCAGTGCTCCCCTAACTAGCTTACTAAGAAGAAAGGTTTCATCAATCTCTGTGTGAATAACACGGATATTGTGCATATTAACGATGCATTTTATTTTCCAGCTCATGTGGATGATTTGTTTCCATTTTTCCTGAGACATGCCAAACAGATATTTCCTGTGTTGGAATGTAAGGATGATCTACGCAAAATCAGTGATTTAAGAATACCACCCAACTGGTTAGTGTCTTCATTTGTGGGTTTGAAATGTTCAGTTTCTTTTTTTTTTTTTTTTAAGAATTATTATTATTATTTTTAAAAAATAATTATTTTATTTAATCTATTATCATAATTATTATTTGTTTATTTGACCAGAGAGAGAGAAAGAAAAAGTAGGAAAGCAAGCCTCCAGGTCCGGGACTTGAACCATGGGCAGCCGTGTGGAGAGTCCAACGCCTTAACCATCATGCCATCTGCTAGCCCCTTAAATAATTATTTAGTTTAATTTTATTTATTTTAATTTGACCAGAGAGGGATAGAGCGAGAGAGATAGAAAGTGAGAAAGCAAGCCACCAGGTCTGCTGAACTTCGGTCAGCCATGTGGGAGTCCAGTGCTTTTAACCACCACACCACCCAGTGGCCCCGAAATGTTCAGTTTCTAATCCTGTGAGATTTAGTGTTTATTATATATATTTTTAAATTGTATATTAGAGGACAAATTATAACAAATCTGGATTATTTTGTTTCCACTAAGGAAACAGGCAATTAATTCTGTCAGGTAGTTAACTGGTGTCTCCCCTTGATCCTTATCAAACTTGGTTGTAGGTTTTATTAGAGCAGATCCAGAGCAGCCCTTCTTTTAGGTGTCGTCCTCACCTCTCAGGTGTGGCCTTCTGGTGTCTCAGCTGAAAGCCTGAGTGTTCTAAGTTCTCTTTCCAATGGCTGACCACAGCATCCCCGAGCACTCTGAGAGCTCCTCGAGACTTTCTGCCCAAACTCTGTAAGCTGCTCTCTTGTAGGCCCTGGTAGTTCTTACCTTGAAATGTTCAATCCAGCTCCTGGCCAAGACCAACAAAGAACCCCAACACAGCCTTCAGCTTCTTCCTGCATACCGTTTCTTCTTTCCATGCTGTGCTCTTCAAATTCCAGCTGCTTTAGCAGCTCTGAATGTGATCTCTGCTGCTGGGTTCAGTAGGACTGCCTACTCTGACTGGGGGCCACCTCCCTGTGCACTATGGGGTGCAGTAGGGTTCAGCTCCACTACTCCCTTCTTTCAGGGCGTGTAGTTCCACACTGCCTATTGTTGTCCCCATAGAGTCGATGCATGTATTTTGCCCCGTTTTGTCCTTGTTTATGGTGGTAGGGATGGTCTAGTGCCACCCCTCGTTATTTCATCACCCCAGCACAGAAGCAGAAGACTCAGTTATTATATTTGTATATGTTGAAATTCAGAGACCTGGGAATATTTTTTCCTAGAATCATGTATTTAGAGCTGTGAGAATGTGAACCCATCTGTGGAAATGATCGCAGTTTAAACTTATTTTTATTAATTCCTGAGAAAAAAGAGTTTGCAGTACAATTAGAAAAATATGCAAGGGACCAGCAGTTAGCGTAATGGCTATGTTGCTGGACTCCCACGTAGTCGACTGTGGTTCGCCGTCCCGGACCCGGTGGCTTAAACTCATGCCGGACACGTGTGCGTGCGTGCCCAAGATCCCAAGAGGAGAATGGAGGAGAAGGGATTGTGGCGTGGCCATCCCCCTTGGGGGGTGATTTCTCGCTTTCTGTCTGTCTCTCTCTCTCTCTCTGTCTGGCGAGTGCACATGCCCTATAGCAAAAACCTCTCCCAAAAAAAAGAAAAAGAAAAATACGCAAGATGTTAATTTGCATTTGAGTTTTTCTGTTCTCTAGTTAGTAAAGGCCATTCTTGGAAATCAGTTGTTATTTTAATGGAATATGAAACCCATTATTTAATTTTGTTTTTCTTTTGGAGTTAGTTAGGATGTTTCAGTTGGAATTGTTTTTTAAATTATTATGTTGCTAGGATGGATTTTAAAGTTAATGGGATTAAGCTGTTTACTTGCTCATATTTTAGGTACCCAGAAGCCAGAGCTATACGGCGGAAGATAATATTCCATTCAGGCCCCACAAACAGTGGGAAGACTTACCATGCAATCCAGAGATACTTGTCAGCAAAATCTGGAGTGTATTGTGGCCCTTTAAAATTACTGGCGCATGAGATCTTCGAAAAGAGTAATACTGCTGTCAGTATGCTACCAAATGTTTGCTCTTTTTTTTCTTGTTAATTTTCGTTTTAGGGGTGGAGTGAAGGTGCAAGTGGGAAAAAGACATGGGTAGTAATATATTGTTAACAAAAAATTACCGTATTTCATTGCATCTAAGAAGCTATCAAGTGTAAGTTGTACCATTATTTTATGTACAAAAAGAAAGAAAAAGTGCTGCCAGTTCAACTGACATTACCATAATTCTCAGGGGCAACCTGATTTCAGAGATACTAAAATGTGAGAAAATATACACAAGAGATGAATAAAACATTTGCCATTCTTCCTTTAGTATTATTATTTTTTAATGACAGAGGGCGTGTGTGTATACCAGGGAGACAGAGAGAAGCTTAGTGGGGTCTGGTCATGTTGCAATTCTTTTCCCTTATTTTCTCCATCTTGTCAGGATCTGGGCATGCACACACGTGCCTAGCCTGTTGCCGCTGGGGCCAGATTTGAACCACGGTCAGCCATGTGGGATCCGACTCCCTCTGCTTAACCTTTGCAGTAAGGGGCCAGCCCAAATTTTTAAAAGAAATAAAATACTAATACAGTTAAAACTCCCTCTAAACTTCTCTTTTACCTCCTTGGCGTTAACCCCTATTGTTATTATGTTTATTTACCTTTTTTAGGCTAGATCTTTAATGCTATTAGCCAGAACCAATGATAAGGACTTAAAGCTACCTTTTCACAATTGAAAGGACCAAAGCCTTGTGGTTTGAGGTATTGTTTCATTAAATGTGCCATGTATTGATTTATTATTTTATTATGACTTTGTACGTGAGATTAACCAGTTTTGGTAATGATTTCTGTCCTCTCTTTTTTGCTGAATATTTTGAGAAATTTGTGTATATACTACCTCTTTACCCATAAGTACTTCTCCTCCATTCTCCTCTCGGGATCTTGGGCATGTGTGCATACATGCCCAACATGAGTTTAAGCCACTGGGTCCGGGACTTGAACCATGGTTGACTACATGGGAATCCAGTGACATAACCATTAGGCTAACTGCTGGTCCCAGTATTTCTTTTTTTTTATAACCACAGGATATTTATCAGATACTGGACATTCAATGTTCATGGAATACTGTCATTTAATACAGTCATATTCAGATTTTGTTAGTTGTTCAGTAATGGCACCTAGCCCTTCAGGATTCCACCCAGGGTCTCACACTGTGTTTAATGGTCATGTCTCTAGTTTCCTACGACAGTTCCTCAGTCTTCCTTGTCTCCCATAACCTTTACATTTGGGAAGACTACACGTTGTGTTGTCCATCCCTCTGTTTGGGTAGATTCAGGCCACTAGGGTGACCGACCGTCACAGTTTGCCTGGACTTCCCAAATTTAGCACCAAAAGTTCTTCATTCTGGGGAACCCCTCTGTCCTGGGAAAACCAGAATGGTTGATCACCACACTATGCTATAGATTGATGTTGGTACTTCTCAGGGAATTACATTAGGGAAGTCTTTATATTTTCCCTCCTGTTTTTTTTTTTTTTCCTCCTATTTTTTGTTTGTTTTTTGTTTTTTAAAGAAACTTTTGCTATAGTGCACATGCGTTCATCAGAGAGACAGAAAACAAGAAATCACCCCCCAGGGGAGATGGCTATCCCTTCTCCTCCATTCTCCTCCTGGGATTTTGGGTACCATGCACACACGCCATGTGTGAATTTTAAGCCACTGGGTCCAGGACTCGAACTGCGGCCAACTATGTCAGAGTCCAGCAATGTAACCATTACGCCATCTACTGGTCCCTCGCCCTCCTTTTTAAGTGCTAGAAAGCACATGAACTTACAAGAGAGAGAGAGAGAAAGAGAAACTCCCAGAGGGATGTGGTCATGCCACAGTCCCCTTTCCTTCATTCCTCTTTCCCATCAGGATTTTGGGCATGCACGCATATACACCTGGTGTGTTTTTCAAGTTGCTGGGGCTGGAATTTGAACCACAGTCAGACATGTGGGATCCAGCTACCTTAACCACTGCTCTGTGGAGCTGGCTGTAAGAGGTCTTTACATTCTTAAATTTTAGATATAGTTTTCTTGAATATAGAAACAATTGATATTTTCTTTAATAAACAAATAGAACAGAAATGTCCTAAGTTTCTACGGTTTCTCATGCTTTTATTACCTGGGAATTTAGCTGATTTGAAATCCAAGTTTACTTGTGTTATATAAGAGAGTGGCTCTTGTTTTTATTGTTTTGAAAAGGGAAAAAAGCATTGGGAATAGTTTATGTGAAACAGATAAGTCCACTGGTAGTGGAGAGAATATTCTCTTAAAAATCTAAAACTTTTTGCTTTTGTTTTCAAGGTAGAAATAATTCCAGGTTTCTTTCTGTCATCCAGGGTGTGCCGTGTGACTTGGTAACAGGTGAAGAGCGGGTGACAGTTGAGCCGGATGGGAAACAGGGTGCCCATGTTGCCTGTACCGTTGAGATGTGCAGTGTTACAACTCCTTGTATGTACACGCTGTCAAAAAAGCTATGGCATTGTTTTAAAATGCAGTTGAATGTAGGAAATATGTTTTTGATTGTGAAAAAAATGTTAAATCTAGAGAAAGAGTAGTACTACAGACACCCCGTACCTGCCACCACTGAGAAACGCTTCACATTCTGTTGTGCGTACTTCCAAACATTTTTTCTTTTTCTCTTAGAAAAGCTAAAATGTTAATAAGTATGACTGAAGTTTCCTTTATGCCACCCTTAATTTTACTGCTTCCCCCTCTTGACCTAACCGCTATCAAATGTTTGGTATAGTCTTTCCATGTCACATAGATATGTGTATCACAAACATAATACTTATTACCTATCAGTGCTACAGACTGTTGTGTTTTGAAACAGTTATAAGATTATCATACTGAGTTACTATACTGGAGCTTTTTTACTCCACATGGCATGTTTTTAGATCTCTCTGGTTTTATCTGTATATTCGTGTTGATATATTTGAAGTTTATTCATTTAAACTGTCATATAGTTACCCATCTTATAGCTGAGATGATGTATTCGCCTTTTAAAGGATATTTAAGATATTTAAAGTTTTTCCCCTACTCAGTACTGCAATGAACTTCTTTTTCTTTTTTTTTTTTTTGAGAGAGAGATTTTTGCTATAGGTTGCGTGCATTTACTGGAGAGACAGAGAGAAAGAGGCAGAGAAATAGAAAATGAGAAATCATCCCCTGTGGGGATGGCTGCTCTGCAATCCCTTCTCCAGTCTCTTTCCAGGATCCTGGACATGTGCGTACATGCACCTAGTGTGATTTTGAAGCCATCAGTTCCTGGACTTGAACCATGGTTGGTTATGTGGGTGTCCAGCGACATAACCACTACACCATCTCCTGGTTCCAAACTTCTTGTTTTTGTTTTAAGAGAGTTTTTTTTTTTTTTTTTTGCCTTAGGGTGCATACGCTCACCAGAGGAAGACAGAGAGACAGAAAGCAAGATATCCCCCCCAGGGGGGATGGCCATGTCACAGTCCCTTCTCCATTCTCCTCTTAGGATCTTGGGTACACATGCACATAGGCCCAGCGTGAGTTTTAAGCTGCCAGGTCTGGGACTTAAACCACAGTCGACTACATGAACGTCCAGTGATGTAACCATTACACCATCTGCTGGACCCTAGTACTATAGTGAACTTCTGTTTAAATAGTTTTGTAAACATTTTAAATGAAAATTAACGATTTTCCTTACTATATAAGCAGTCATATCCGTGTTATAGAGGCATAAAAATATAAGCAAGCAAAGAGAACGGACATGCATGATCCCCCAATCCCACCTATCCAGAACCAATAAGTGTTAAGTGTTAATTAACCCTGTCGTTTGTGTTTTCTAGACTTACTCTACATCTGTGTTCATATTGTTTGTGCATATGTGCATTGTGCGTATGTATATCAAAACAAAATAAGAACAATCTATTACTGTTAGGGTTTGCCTTTTTCCCCTTAATTTTAATGAACTTTCTGAGTAAATGGATAGTTTTAAAATATCAGTGTATAGGGCCGGCAGGTGGTGTCATGGTTAAGGTACTGGACTCCCACATGACCAACTGTGTTTCTAGTCCCAGGCCTAGCGGCTTGGAAGTCATGTAGAGTGTGTGTGCATGCATGCTAGAATTTCAGGAGGAGAAAAGAGAGGTGATTGCAGTGTGGCCATCCCCATTGCAGGGTGATTTCTCACTTTCCTTTTCTCTCCAGTGAGCACATGTGCCCTGTGACAAAAACTTCAAAACAAAACAAAACGAAACAAAAACAATGAAATTAGGGCCTGGCTCTGAAATACCAGTGTATTATAGGTCCTAGCTCCTTGGTGCAGTGGTAATGCACTACTCAGGAGAAGCCAGATCCCACATGGTGACAGTAGTTTGAATTTCCAGTCCAATGAGCCTGAAATTTGCCAGACACACATGAAGTGCCTAAGATCTGAAGGGCTAGAGGACTGGAGGAAGGTGATTGTGGCGTGACCCTGTGGAGGGTGTTCATTTTTCTATCTCTCACTCGTTCTCCTGTGCATATACACGCAACCCATAATTAATAAAAAAAAACTTTTAAAAATCAGTATATTATACAAGCAGTACATTGTAAAATTTAAAATAGTGTGAAAGTTTTTTGATCAGAATTTCCTCTTTTGCCACCCTTTTTGTCTCATCTGTAAGTATCCATCCAGATGTGATAATTTTTCATGTGGCAGGCAGTGCAGTAGGGTGGCTATTGGGAGCTAGATCACCTAGTTTTAAATTCCTTCCCCACATTTATATACTGCCTAACGTTGGGCAAATAACTTTCCTGGGCCTTAGTTTGCTCTTCTATGAAATGGTGATAATGGTAGTTGGTCCTGAGGATAAATGTGCTACAATTATAAAACATCTAGAAATAGCCTGCTAGAGAAGAGTCACCCAATGAGCAGTGATGAGGAGGATGATGACAGATGGTGGAGATGGTGGCGATATAGTAATTGGTTTATAATACTGTTGACTAGATTGTATTGCTCACAATAACTGTTTTATTTTAAGATGAAGTGGCTGTAATTGATGAAATTCAAATGATCAGAGATCCAGCCAGAGGATGGGCCTGGACCAGAGCACTTCTAGGTTGGTGGTCTTAATGCTCTAAGAGCTGTGCTTTGTGACACCTGCACTAACGAGTTTGTCCACTTGACACTGCCAAGTAGTGTCAATTAGATCTTCTCTTTTTGACACAAAATCAATTAAAAAAGCTAAGTGTGAGTTTTTATTTTTTTAAACATTAGTAGTGGGAAGTCTATTTTTCCTACTATAAAATTAGCATGACTATGTAATTAAAGTTAAAATATTCAGATCTTGCCTTGTTTACACAACCACTGTTGATATTTCAATGTTTCATATTAGTCTTTTTCCTTATGTGAATATGCATTGTGTTTTGAAAACATAATTTTGTATCTTGCTTTTTTTGTTTCTTGCTTTTTTATGGTTCTGTTGTTTCTTTGTTAATTTTTTTCATCCCACATCATAAAGTGATTGCATATTCTCTATTGACGAGCAGGAGCATAATTCGTTCCATAGAGTTGAACCTTTTTCTCTGCTATTAATAGTGGTGCCATAAAAATCTTCATGGCCATAGCTACTTATTTATTTATTTTTATTATTTCTTTAAGATAGGCTCCTGGAAGTGGAGTTCTTAAGGTCCAGGACATGAGTAAATATTTTTATTGCTTGATGTTGGAGTTTTGATTAGCATTTTGTAGGGCAGATGTTTTCAAATTTAAAAGCAAAGTGTTAAAAAATTTTCTTCAAACATGAGAGTATGCATAAAATAGGTGGGAGTGGGTCTAGTTAGGAATAGGGAGCTTGAAGTTTCTTCTCCCCCTCAGAGAGTCCATGGAACTTAATTCCAAAAACACAAGTTTCAGAGCTGTGTTCAGTACTACATATAGAGTGCCAGGTTCTCATCCTGGCTGGCTTCCCATTCTACTTGACACCTTGGTCAAAGCAATTTAATAACCTGAGATTCATAAAAGTAGAAATAAACTTTGCATACTAGAAGGCAGTATTTTAAGGTTTGCTTCAGAGAGATAATATGAGTCTTTGTGAAATTACTTAATATAAAGTTGTATAACAGTAGATAAGCAAATGTAAAGTATGTTGCTATATAAAGTTTTGCATATTTTTAGAAAATTTTAAATTTAAAAAAATTTCCAATTTTGCGTTGATAGGACTCTGTGCTGAAGAAGTCCATCTGTGTGGAGAGTCTGCTGCTATTGACCTGGTTACTGAGCTTATGTACACAACTGGGGAGGAAGTGGAGGTACTAGATTATATGCTTTTTCTCAAGTTAGCGCATCACGTAGCGCGAGCACCTACGCAGCGGGTTCATAGGCACTAGATAGTGGCAAGAGCAGAACGTAACTATAAAAAGAAAGCTTCATTTTCTCATGATTGACTGGATCATACATTTTTGGTTGACCCTCCTTCCACCCTAAGTCTTCCAAGGGTAGAGGAGATTCTTCATCATCTCTTACTAAAACCTTATGGGGTTTGAGCAGATAACTTTAGAATTAAGTATATCATAAGGGTTGGAGAGTTGAGAGTCAGCACGGGTTTGTGGTTTTCAGTCTTACATGGCAGATATTGGGGCCTTTGATATGTGTCTAATTGCCAGATACAGTTTGTGTCCCTTTTTGAAATTCCGGGAGTAGGAAAATAACTGATGTCCTTTTTTTTTTTTTATTAGAATTTTTTTTTTTAAGTATTGCATTATTGGGGACCAGCAAATGGTTCTGGTTTTGTCACTGGACTCTTACGTGGTCGACCATGGTTTGAGTCCTGGACACTGCAGCTTGAAACTCATGCCAGGTGCATATGTGTGTGTGTGCCCCAAATACCAAGAGAATGGAGGAGAAGGGATTATAGTGGGGTGAATCCCCCCAAGGGGTGTGGAGGGGGATTTCTTACCTTCTATCTCTCTGTTTCTGTCTTTCTAGTGAGCACACTTGCCCTATAGCAAAAATCTCCTTAAAATAATAATAGTAATAAAGTATTGTATGTAGTATCGCGCTGCAATACTCACGCCTCAGCCTCCTGAGTTGTTGAGACTATAGACATGCTTCATTGTGTCTAGCTTTTAGGGTGGGCCAGGAATCAAACCTAGGTTTCTCATGTGGCCTCAGCTGAGGAACAGCGTCGACTAGCACATAGTACTGCGCTAGGTCCTGGTTTCCTTTTTATCCTACTTTTCTTTTTCTTTATTGGAGTTTCATAAGGGGATGAAGAAATGTTTTTTAAATAGTCTATTATTATAGCTTGCCCTTAGCTTTCGGGGAGAGATGTGAAATGTGGGGGAGGAGTTCTGGATTCCAGTCTGGCTATTGCTATTCTTAGCTTTGCATTCTTAGACAAATCACAGAAGGATAGAACTGAAAAAAAGACCTCAGGTCTAAACGTTTTTTGTTAATGAGAGACGATGGGAGGTAGGTATTCATTTTGTTTTGTTTTGTTTACAGGTTTTTGCCATAGGGCCTGGGCGCTTGCCAGAGAGAGGCAGTGAGAAGGAAAGTGAGAGATAACCTCCTAGTTGGGTAGATGGCCACACCGCAATCCCTTCTCCATTCACTTCTTGGGATTTGGGGCACACAGGCCTTGCATGAGTTTTAAGCTGCCAGATTTGGGGATTCAAATTGCTATGCCATGTGCTGACCCCAAGAGAGAGATTTTTTGATGTGATGTCTTCATGATTCTTGCTCAGCCTCCCAGTCAGCTAGACCACAGTTGTGTGCCACCTCACCCAGTGTGTTTAGAGTGGGCTGGGAACCAAAGCTAGGTCTCCCGTGTGACACCCCCCCATACACTCCTTAACACAGCAGAGGTCTTCCATTGTGCTTCTGCAGGTGGCCTAACCGTTTACTGGGCCATATTTCACTCTTCAATAAAATAAATAATAGTTAACTCTTCTGCACGTATGGTACCACATTGCCCTGAAAATCAAGTATATGTGACAGTGCTTTGAAAATGTGTGAAACACTGTAATATTTAGAGATGAGAACTGAAGGTGACACTTATCAAAATAAATGTGTGTGTTTGCCCTTGAAAAATGCTGCTTATTAATTTTTAGCTACTCTCAGTTGCTTGATAAGCTATTCACTTAATTATTAGTCACAGGAAGTTGAGTTGGGCATATTATTTTACCGTCACTTGTCTTTACTGTAGGTTCGAACCTATGACAGACTTACCCCCATTTCTGTGCTGGATCGTGCCCTAGAAACTTTAGACAATCTGCGGCCTGGGGACTGCATTGTCTGTTTCAGCAAGAATGATATTTATTCTGTGAGTCGACAGATTGAAATTCGGGGATTGGAATCAGCTGTTATATACGGCAGTCTCCCACCTGGTAATTATGGACTTTTTCATTGTTTCAGGATAAGGAATCTCATACTTTTGCCATTTATGTTGAGACATGTATAGAACACACAATAAAAATACATAGCAATAAGCCTATTCATGTATCAGTAATTTGTTATAAGTCATATAAAATACTTCTCTAGTTCAGAGGTATTGGGTTTTTGGAAAAATCATGATACATTTTTGCATAGAAAAACTGAAAAAGGGCTGGCAGGTGGTGTGGCGTGGTGGTTAAAGGTGCTGGATTCCCATATGGCCGACCGTGGTTCAAGTCCCAGACCTAGTGGCTTGCTTTCTCCCTTTCTCTCTCTGTCTCTCTCTCTGGTCAAATTTTAAAATAGTAAAGGGACCAGCAGTTGGCGTAATGGCTATGTCACTGGACTCCCACGTAGTTGACTGCAGTTCGAGTCCCAGACCCATTGGCTTAAACTCACGCTGGATGCATGTGCGTGCGTGCCCAAGATCCCAAGAGGAGAATGGAGGATAAGGTATTGCAGAGTGACCATCCTCCCTTGGGGGTGATTTCTCGCTTTCTGTCTCTGTCTCTGGAGAGTGCACGCGCCCTGTAGCAAAAACCTCTCCAGAAATAAAATAAGAATAACAAATGCAAATAAATAAGTAAATAATTCTTTTTAAAAAAAAAGACAAAAAAATACATCATGACTGTACTGACAATCCAATATTTTAATTGTTTTAGGTCTAGTTATTTGGCTATATATCTTTTTAACATTCTTTCTTTCTTTATTTAAATTTGACCAAAGGGGTGAAGGGGAGAGAGAGAGAGAGAGCTGCCACGTCTGGGACTTTAACCATGGTCAGCCATGTGCAAGTCCAGCGCCCTTAACCACCACACCACCTGCTGGCCCTAGGCTGTATTTTTTTCTTTTTTTGGAAAGATTTTTGCTATAGGGTGTGAGTGCTTGCTAGAGAGACAGAGACAAGAGAGAAAGAACGCAAGAAATCACCACCCAGAAAAGATGGCCACACTGCAATCCCTTCTCCTCCATTCTCCTCTTGGGATTTTGGCCCAGTGTGAGTTTCAAGCTACCAGGTCTGGTACTCAGACTGTGGTCAACCAAGAGGGAGTCCAGTACCTAAGCCACTACACCATCTGCTGTTCCCCTATTAGAATGTATTTTAAATGTTAAGTTTTTACAGGAATGTCATTAAATACGGACTTGGTAATATCCTTCAAGTGGTAGTACTAAAATCTGATAAGTATCTTTAGAAATGATAAGGCTGGTAATGGTGAAGGATTGTGTGGCTAATTTGAGGGGCCATTGAAAGGGGATATTTAAGGAGTAATAGCTCTTTCAGGATATAGAGAAATAAAGCTTGAAATGGAAAGAGCACAAGGTGTGGATTTCCAAGATATACTTAGCATGATACAATAAAAGACAGAGAATGCTGACTTAACACAAACTGTTCTTATTTTAGGGACCAAACTTGCTCAAGCAAAAAAGTTTAATGACCCTGATGATCCATGCAAAATCCTGGTTGCTACAGATGCAATTGGCATGGGGCTTAATTTGTAAGTAATAAGGGTGGACATTTGGTGGGTTAGACGGCCACATTTTTGCTATTGTTTTTCAGTTTTCTAGTTGGCATTAATGGCCAAACATATTCATTTAGGAGAATGGGTATTGCAGTTTGAGATTTAGCTTGTTTACACCTGTTGGGAACAAAACAACAATGCTGTGTAGCATCAGGACTTCTGGGTGCTGCCTCCCAGTACGGCTGTCCTGTTACTGTATCACCTCACTTTATTTTCAGTCAACAGGTGTTTGAGTGTCTCTGCTGTGTGTGGGGCTAGCCATTATCTACAGTGATAAGTAAAGTTAAGCCTAAATATTCCACCCTGGGTGATGAAGGCACTTATTCCTTTCTGAATCAAAGAAAACTAATGAAAACTGTTAATAGCAGCCAGCTTGCTTTTTTTTTTTTTTTTTTTTTTTAAACCCCCAGCATGTCACAGGGCACATTCATTTATTTGCCAGACAGCGACAGTGAGAGGGAAAATGAGAAATGACCCCCTAGCTGGGAGGGCCATACCACAGTCCCTTCTCTTCTATTCTCCTGGGATTTTGGGCACACATGCACATGCACCTGGCATGATTTCAAGCCATGAGGTCCAAAGCTCAAATCATGGTCTGCCATGTGGGAGTTCATTGCTTAATAGCCCTGCAACCAACTTTTAAAGCATTATGAGAGTGCTTTGAATTATTTGTTTAAAAAAAAAAGTCATTTTCTGTAGCTTTACCAAGTATATGCCATACAATTCACCTATTATAAGTGTTCAGTTTGATGATTTTTAGTCATTATCCATAGCTGTTAAAAAATACTTTTGAAGGGAAGAAAAAGAATTACCAACAAACCTCTTTTTTAACTGATGGGAAGATCATAGGTAGGTCTAAACTAGAATTGGAGTGAGCATTTTTCTGATAGTTCAAGTGATGGAAGGTTTTTCACTGTCTGTGGGATCACTTTTATTTCTATTTCAGGAGCATAAAGAGAATTATATTTTACTCCCTGATGAAGCCCAGTATCAATGAAAAGGGTGAGAGAGAAATAGAACCAATCACCACATCTCAGGCTCTGCAGATTGCTGGCAGAGCTGGTAGATTCAGCTCGCAGTTTAAAGAAGGAGAGGTTACAACGATGAATCGTGAAGACCTTGGTTTATTAAAGGAAATTTTGAATAGGCCTGTGGATCCTATAAGGGTAAGGTACATGTTAATTAGAACTGCTGTGGTGGAGACCCCTGTAACAAAAAATAACCCAAAACATTAATATTTGCTCCAAAAAAAAGAATTATTTTATTGAACTTTATTTGTTTATTTATTTATTTTAATTTGATGAGAGAGAGAGAGAAGGGGGGAGTGAGAAAGCAAGCCGCCAGGTCCAGGACTCGAACCATGGTTAGCCATGTGGGAGTCCAGTACCCTTAACCATCATGCCAACTGCTGGCCCCTTAAGCAAAAAGCTAAAAGTTGTCTGGAAAATATGAGGTAATGCAAGAAAAAGTTCCTTGAGTGAAACTGTGGTTGAAATAATTTTTGTGGCTTTTATTAAGAATACGGTCAGATTCAAAGTGGCTCCCAGTACAGCTGATAATGATACACTCCTGTTCCATCTTTTGTACCAAGTTTCTTGTCCTTATGCTCTTCCTCCCTCCCTTATGGCTCATTGCTCTTGCCTCCTTTCCTCTTCTCCATTCTCTTTTTCTTTCTCTCTTTTTTCTTGCTTCATTCCTCTACTTACCTCTGGGCATTTCTTAGCACTGCAAAGTACAGTTAAGGAGATACCTGACTGTTGCCAGGTAGTGGAACAGTGGCAATGTAACTGGACCCTTATAGGAGAGGTCCTGAGTTCATGTCCTGGGGCCTCCCTAAGCATGCTGGGTGCATGCACACGTGCCCATGGTCCAACCCAGCTGAGATGGAAGGTGAATCACAGTGTGGGGACCCTTTTGCGGTTCTGTCCCTCTCTCTTCCTCTCTCTGTATCTTTCTCATGAAAGATATAAATAAGCTTTAAAAAAAAAAGATACCTAACTTCCAGTTTAGACATTTTCCTATGTCTGTATATGTGTGTGCAATTTTATTGCCCTGATTAAAATGACTGGGTTTTTCTTGTTCCTTTTTATTCACTGAGGAGAATTGACACTTAGAAAATTGTTTTACACTGTAAAGTATGTTTCGTACTCCAACAGATCATCATAGATTTCAGCAATATGACTAAAATACAATACTCAATGACCATAATCTATCATTTTGCTAAGTAATTTTACCAGCTTTTCTAATTGGTAGTAAATGACAAAATGATGTTTTTTCCCTCTATTTTGGCCAAATTTTTGTCATCTACTTATTCAGTAATAGCTGAAATGTAAAACTTTATCTTGAAATATCTTAAGATAATGTGTCCTTTATTTAAAAAAATAAGCTTATGGCTTTTTCTTTATTTTTTTAATTTTTACAAAAGGCAGCCGGTCTTCATCCAACTGCTGAACAGATAGAAATGTTTGCCTACCATCTCCCTGATACAACACTTTCTAATCTCATTGTAAGTGGAAACTCACTTTTAAATCTCTTCTGAAAATATATTGATGTGTCTGACCATTGGCTATCTAACCTCATGGGTGTGAATGGATAGTCTGTTTTTGTGAAGATGCTATTTATGGAATTTCTAAGTTTTAGGTTGGGAAGTCTCTGGGGGAAATCTGTTAGATTTAGGAGGTCGATTAAAAAGATCATCTTTTATTGACTTGAATACATTATTCATGCCCAGTTAGGCAGTTCAATAATTTCATGTATCTTTTTTTTTTTCTTCAAGGATATTTTTGTAGACTTTTCACAAGTTGATGGGCAGTATTTTGTCTGCAATATGGATGATTTTAAATTTTCTGCAGAGTTGATTCAGCATATTCCGTTAAGTCTGCGAGTGAGGTATGTCTTCTGCACAGCCCCTATCAACAAGAAGCAGCCTTTTGTCTGTTCTTCATTATTACAGGTAAGCTTTTAGCTCAGTGGTTATTTTTCTTAAGAGAGATTTTTGCTGCAGGGCACATGTATTCACTGGAGAGACAGAGAGATAGAAACAAGATAACACCCCCCGGGGAAGAGGGCCACACTGCAGTCCCTTCTCCATTCTCTTCTTGGGATTTTGGCCACATATGCACACGTGCCTGGAGTGAGTTTTAAGCAACAGGGTCCAGGACCCAAACTGCTGTAGGTCATGTGGGAGTCCTGCGACATAGCCATCACACCATCTGCTGGTCCCACTTGATGGTATTTTGAATTGTTTTAGGTTGAAGCATTTTTCCCAAACTGTAATTTGTTACTCAAAACAATTGGAAGTGTACTCTATAATCTGAGAGACTTTGTGAAAGTTTAAATATAAAGGGACTCTCTTTATTGCACATGATTTTGGGGATAAGTGGGAACCCTTGCTTTATATTTGGACTTATACAGTAGCCTTTGTGAGAAAGATAAAACAAATTAAAAATATAATTAGATAAAATGTCTCAAGGAAGAGAGCTTTGCCTGATAATGCACATTTCCCTCATTAGCATGGGGCGTGTTATACTTAGAAGCAGGGTTAGGGTTAGTGGTGGCATTTGTATTTAGTTTTCTTGACAGGGCTTGCTGTCTTGTACGAATATGGTGCCAAGATTCTGGTTCCTTTTGTTTAACCTATCTAATCACTTAACTTCTGGGGAACACAAGAGTCTGGGAGTTTGAGGGGGGGGCCAGAAAGTGCTGTGGGAACTGAACTTACTGTTCTTGCTTCTTTCGGGGGCATTGCATGTCCTGCTGCCTCTGCTTGGTGTGCTTTCCCCCATCCACTGAACCCAAAGACCTCCTCCTCTTTGCATCTTTACTGTCTTGTTGAGGTTCACTGCCATTGCCAGTGTAGGCCTACTCTATGTACTAACTCTGTTCTGATCAACTCTATTTCTTTTAATTCTAATTTTAATTTTTTTTTTTAGAGGTTTTTGTTATAGTGCACATGCGCTTGCCAGACAGACAGCTAGAAAGCGAGAAATCACCCCCCAGGGGGGATGGCCATGCTGCAATCTTTTCTCCTCCATTCTCCTCTTGGGATCTTGAGCATGCATGCACACATGCCCAGCGTGAGTTTTAAGCCACTGGGTCCAGGACATGAACCGCGGTCAACTACGTGGGAGTCCAGCGACATAGCCATTACACTAACTGCCGGTCCCCTGTATTTCTTTTATTTTTTAAAAGAATTATTTTATTTAACTTTATTTATCCATTTATTTATTTATTTATATCAATTTGACCAGAGAGGGACAGAATGAGAGAGAGAGAGAGAGAGAAAGAAAAGAAAAGAAAAGAAAGAGAGAAAGCAAGCAAGAAAGCCAGCCATCAGGTCCAGGGCTTGAACTGCAGTCGGCCATGGGGAGTTCAGTGCCTTCAACCATCACACCGTCTGCCAACCCCCTGATCAACTCTATTTCTAAATTTACTCTTGAAATATTTTGCAGTCACTTAAATAGTACATAAATACTTTCCCTTTGTACAAAATTAAAACATTGTAGATAGATTAAATTTGGCTACTACATCTGGACTCTGTCATCTGAGTTGAACTGATAACTAAATTTGTTGCCATTTATTAGTTTGTATTTTTGCAGACCTTTCTTGTTGCATCTGCCTACATACATGTACATGTAGAAAGTCTAGTTTTTTTGTGTGTATGCGTTTTCCTGTAAATGTTAACATAATCAATAATTCTGCAACCTGCTCTTTTCTTTTTCCCTGCATAGTATGTGTTAGAGGTTTTCTGTGTCCAGGTGTTTACTCAGACAATGTTTCTTTATTTACTCTTTTTTTAAGAGATTTTTTTTCCTTCTGCCCCAGAGGGTGTGTGCTTGCCAGAGAGAGAGACAGAGACTGAGACAGTGAGAGGGAAAGTGAGAAATCAGCCCCCAGGGGAATGGTCACACTGCAATTTTTTCTCCTAGGATCTTGGGTACACACGCACAGGCACCCAGCGTGATTTTCAAGCCACCGGGTCCAGGCGTGAAACTGCGGTCAGCCATGTGGGATTTCAGTAATGTAACTGCTACACCATCTGCTGACCCCGATGATGTTTCTTAGAGCCGACATTTGTTAGGGACTTAGCACAAGGAACAGTCTTAAACTGCAGTAAACTGACCAGAATGGAGCTCAATCCCACAGCCTTCACGCAGCTATACAGATAAAGCAGAAATTCTTTACTAAGTAGTAAGGAGACTCTAGAACAATACAGGTCAAGAATTAATGTTTTGGGACCAGCAGTTAGCATAATGGCTATGTCGCTGGACTCCCACGTAGTCGACCATGGTTCGCATCCCGGACCAGTGACTTAAAACTCACGCCGGGCGCGTGTGCATGTGTGCCCAAGATCCCGAGAGGAGAATGGAGGAGAAGGGATTGCAGTGTGGCCATCCCCCCTGGGGGGTGATTTCTCGCTTTCTGTCTCTCTGTCTCTCTCTGGCTGGCGAGTGCACGCGCCCGATTGCAAAAACCTCTCCAAAAAAAAAAAAAGAATTAATGTTTTCTATTTAAAGGTTAAAATGTAAAATATGGAGATTTTTTTTTCTTTAACTTTTAAAAAATTTTATCATTTCTTTAATTGTCAAAGGGTGCATGCACTCACCAGGTAGAAAGAGGTAGAAAACACCCCCTAATTAGATGTAGTCTTGCCTTAATCCCTTTTCCTCTATTTCTCCATCCAGTCAGAATTTTAGGCACGTACACCCAGGTACCCAGTGTGTTTTTCAAGCTTCTGGGGCTGGAGTTCAAACTGTAGTAGGCCATATGGGATCTGGCTTCCAATGCACAGCACTGTGTTTGTGTGTGTGTGTGTGTGTGTGTGTGTGTGTGTGTGTAAGTTTATTTCTTCCATGGGAGAGATGGGAGGTGTGGGACAGGTACCCTTGTTAGTTGTTGCCACACCATGATCCACCCCTGCCACCCTTTGGGCCCACCAGGGTCACAGGTGCATGCGAGGCCATGTGGGATCTGGCCTCATACACAGCGCTGTGTGTGTGTGTGTGTGTGTGTGTGTGTGTGTGTGTGTGTGTAAGTTTATTTCTTCCATGGGAGAGATGGGAGGTGTGGGACAGGTACCCTTGTTAGTTGTTGCCACACCATGATCCACCCCTGCCACCCTTTGGGCCCACCAGGGTCACAGGTGCATGCGTACACCCAGTATGTTCAGTCGACTGAGATCTGAACCCCAGTCTACCATGCAGCTCCAGCATTTCAGAGCGTCATCCTGTAACCTGTGCCACCGTGACTGGACCCTTTTCCTTTTCTCTCCATCATTACTGGACTGTAAAAAGCTCAGTTCCATGGATGAGCTTCTGAGGCCCTGCAGGACTGTGTTTTTGATGAAATGGGGATAGAGTGGGGTAACCATTGAAGACAGTGCTTTTGAAACTGCCCAACAGAGGTCTTTCCGGACTGGCTGCTGATAGAGGTGATATGTGGACAGGGATCTCTCACTGCTCGCTTTCTCTTACGTATTGGGCTGCTTCTGGTTGTGGCCAAAGATATTAAAGCCATCGCATTTATGTGAGATTTTCAGAACTTATCTTTGGCACGTCTTGCTTCGCAGTTTAGTATGGTCATGTTTCCATCCTTCATGGCCATTCTACTTGGCATTTATTAAACTTGGCGGAGTGCACCAGCCTGAATTTAATAAAATCATAGCATTATTTAACCACAGTTGGTCTAGAATTGCCCTGCCTCTGAAACATTAGCCTTGCTCAGAGTAAGCATTTAGAGATAATTTCCCTAATTAGGAAACAAATAATTTGAAATTAGCTTCTTCTTCTTCTTTTTTTTTTTTTAAGAATTTTTTTGCTATAGGGTGCATGCACTCACCAGAGAGACAGACAGTGAGAAATCACCCACTGGGGGGATGGCCACACTGCAGTCTCTTCTCTAGTGTCTTCTCAGGATTTTGGGCACACATGCACCCATGCTCAAAATTAGTTTGAAACCAATGGGTCTGAGACAAAACTGCCATTGGTGTTGCCACACCAATGCTGGAGTCCAGCAACATAATCATTATGCCATCTGCTGGTCCCAGTTTTTGATTGTCAGTGGGCTTATACTTGCCAGAGGAAAAGACAAAAAGAAAGCATCCCTCAATGAGGGATGGTTATGCTGTAATCTCTTCTTCATTTCTCCATCCTGTTGAGATTTGGGAGTATGCTCCCACATATTTATCAGCAAGGGCTGGGATTTGGGACATTAACAAGACAGAGAAAAATAAGCTTATTTTTGACGTTATGGGGCTATTACATGATAAGGTAGAAATGAGACTCTTTAGGCACTATCTGCCCATAGGTTAGAACATAAAATGTTCGAAAGGGAGAGCTAATAGAGTTAGGCTCTAGAAAGTTAGTCCTTGTGCTGTTTACTCATTCATTCATTTCATTCATTCATTTATTTTTTAGAATTATTTATGGGTCCAGCAGATGGCATAATGGTTACATTGCTGGGCTCCCACTTAGTTGACTGTGGTTTGAGTCTCGGACACAACAGCTTAAAACCAGCGCTGGGTGCATGTGCATGTGTACCCAAGGTCCTGAGAGGAAAATGGAGAAGAGATTCCAGTGCGGCCATACCCCCCCCAGGGGGCTGATTTCTCACTTTCTGTCTCTTTTTTAAAGAGTTTTGCTATAGGGCATGGGCGCTCACCAGAAAGATAGAGAGCAACAGAGAGACAAAAAGTAAGAAGTCACCATCCCCCAGAGAGATGGCCACACCATGATCCCTTCTCCTCCATTTTCCTCTCAGGATCTTGAGCATGCACGCACATACACTCAGTATGAGTTTAAGCTACCGGGTTTGGGACTTGAACCACAGTTGACTCATGGGGTCCAGCTACATAACCATTACACCATCTGCTGGCCCCTATTATGCCTTGATTTTACAAAAATAAAGTCATCTCCCTCCCTGCCCTTTCTTTCCCCAGTTTTTGCTAGGGGTTACATGTGTTCACTAGAGGGAAAAAGAACACCCTTCATAGAGTATGGTCATGCTGTAATCTCTTCTCCATCTCTTTTTCCTTTCAGGATTTTGGGAATACACACACCTGCCCTCCCTATCTCTGTGTGGTTCTCAGTTATCTGCATCCAGGACTTGCACTGTGTGGTCGGCCATGTTACATCGGCTGCCTTAACCACCAGGCCAGAGCTGGCCCCCTTTTTTCTTTTTTTAACAAAAGGATCTTTAAGTCTTATAATGATAGAAAACTATAAAAGAGGAGAGAAACTAGCCTGTCTATTTTTTAATTTTTTTTGGAGAGGTTTTTGCTATAGGGCGCGTGCGCTCACCAGACAGAGAGAGACAGATAGAAAGTGAGAAATCACCCCCCAAGGAGGATGGCCATGCCTCAGTTCCTTCTCCTCCATTCTCCTCTTGGGATCTGGGGCACACACGCACACGCGCCTGGCGTGAGTTTTAAGCCACCGGGTCCGGGACGTGAACCGTGGTCGACTACGTGGGAGTCCAGCGACATAGCCATTATGCTAACTACTGGTTCCCTAGCCTGTCTATTGAGATACAACTACAGTTAACATTTCATTGTACTTTCTTTTTCTTTCTAATCAGAGACTGGAGGGAATTCTGGTTCTTTTTTTTTTTTTTTTTTTTAGAGATTTTTGCTATAGGACATGTGCGCTCGCCAAATAGAGACAGAGAGACAGAAAGCGAGAAATCACCCCCCCCCCAGGGGGGATGGCCATGCTGCA